ATACCATATCCTCAAGAATCGCGGCAGTAGATGCCTGCAGATGGGTTACACAATCGGTATCATATGCGCCATATGTTACTTCTTTGCCATGGATTTCTCATTATGGTTGCAAATATGTAGTTCATGGCGATGATATTACATCGGACAGCAGTGGGGAAGATTGTTATCGATTTGTCAAGGCCGCAGGTAGATTCAAGGTCGTGAAGCGAACGCCAAGTATCTCAACGACAGATCTTGTAGGACGAATGTTACTCTGCACACGAACGCACTTTATTAAATCACTTCCCAAGCTCTTGGCTGGGGAAGATGGCTCTGGAACTCCGGAGGAGAGACATAGTGAGGGCAAAGCTATGACTGAAAGAATGCGAATGTACGCTACCGATGAAACTGGACTTAAGCCAGGCTCAAGTGTTTGGTTTTGGAAAGCTTCGATTGCGGCCAGGGAGGACGAGACCGAGAACGAGAAGGGAGTCTTCAGTTCATTGATGCAAGGATCGACCCCAAAACCTGGTCAGCGAGTCGTATATGTTGATGGTGGCTTCGATCTCTTCTCTTCGGGTCATATTGAATTCCTTCGACAAGTCATAAAGGCGGAAGAGAAGCTCGCTGAGGGAGAAGGCTGGTACAACAAAGAGGCTGTAGAAGAGCGTCTTGGTAAAGGGGCAGACCATGCCCCATGTTTCGTAGTGGCTGGTGTTCACGATGATGAAGTTATCAATCATTGGAAAGGAGTCAATTATCCAATCATGAATATCTACGAACGAGGTCTTTGCGTATTGCAATGCAAGGTATCAAGTGTCCCACAGTATCTCTCCCAGGTTGCAATTCTAACTTTGTATAGTATGTCAACGCCGTCATCTTCGGTGCGCCTTTTACTCCCTCCAAGGCATATCTTACAACAACTCCATGGGGGGTACCTGATGCCGTCTATCACGGACCAACAAGTTTCATGCCATTAACTTATGATCCATACATCGCTGCAAAGGAAATGGGAATCTATCGTGAGATTGGAAACCATGAATTTGCATTTGTCAATGCTGGTCAAATTGTGCAACGAATTTTGAAAAGTCGAGACATGTATGAAGAAAGACAACGGGTAAAGGGAGTGAAAGGTATTGGCGAGGAGGCTCAAAGGACTCGCGAACGATTGGAAGAAGAGCAGCGATTAAAGGAAAACACTGCATAAATGGGTCAAAACCTGACGGAAAAGTTCAAGGGTAGAGAGGCAGCCAAAAAGTAAAAAAAGTAAAAAAATTCTTAGATAGAGATACCACCTAATTTTACATAAGATAGAGATAAATATCAGATTAATTGACCAAAGAATATGCCATGGCTTGGTATCCACCGACAAGATAAAAGATTGCAGCCAATTGACAAAGACAAATATCTACAAACAGCAACAGCGATCCATAAGGTTGTGAGTGTGCTTGTGACTTCTGATGATACGAATCTTCTTGCAGTTCCGCATATCTTGAAGTCTCGGTATCCGAGTGTAACCGTTACCCGGCAATAAGCGATTAATTTCAAACTCCATTCTTTTCATCCATTTTTATTGGAAAGAATGAAAATATGCAAAATGGACGACATCATATCTGAGATGTCCCACCATGCCCATACTGTACATCCACATCTACATCCACATCTTTCAACGCCTTCTTCTTATCATCAACGTCTGCAGTCCGGCTCCGTTCCGGACAATGAACCGCAGCAAGAATCCCATAAGCCGTGTGTTACATACAATCCATCCATCATTCCTCGCCAAAACATACTTTCTTATGCTTAGAAGTCCAAACTCGGGGGTCAGTCTTCTGACAGCAGTCCCTTTACATGGATCTATCCCCCTTTTGAGTTCTCAATGATCGGACTCATTGGAGTGAGATCTTCAATGCTTGAATGTGAGACTATTCTCCTGATATAACACGCCCTTCCCGACTGACTACGATGTACTCCGTGCCGTTACTTCCATACCTAGTAGTTGATTTTCCATGCATTGCAGTGACCCACCAGCAAAATTCATGACAACTTTCTAGATACGAAATCTTGTACGTACGTACTAAACAGTCAAGTGTTTTTATACTACTCGTATATAGCCATGATTTGATGGAGGGGGGAGTCTGCCAAGTAGACCCCAAATGGACGGTGGGCGGCGTATTAGAATCTAATTGATTGGCTTCTTTTTTTTTCAATACATCGCCTCGATTACTCGATTACCTGGGTAGGATTGGATTCCACAGAAATTGGCTAGTGCCATAAGGTTGAGTTTGAGTTTTCTCTGTCAGATATTTTCATATATTGATATTTTGATATATTGATATTTTTATGGGTTTATGGGTTTATTAGAATCTTATCTGTGCATGTCTCTATCTACTCCGTAGTCTCTAGATTCCACTCCCACTTCCTTCCCTCGAGTCCCTCCAGTAAAATTGTTCCAAAATTGTTTGTTGGGGTGTGACTCAACATTTCAAACGAAACTCCTTTTACTAATAAATTTATTAGTTTATTCTATATAAACTCTAGGATCCTTTCTTTGTCCACGAATTCCATTTCTCTTGATCATCTGCAACCTTTTTTTGACATCAAAACTATTAGATTTTCTTAAGAAGTTTTCAATCAATACTTTTCTAAACTCTTTTACTTTTTCTATCAAGTATCAATTGGGTATCTGGTTGCCATAAAATCATAAATCATATTCACAATGGCTCCATCAGCCATCTCACGAACTCCTCCTAAAGATGTTCAACAATCCGATGAACTCTTAGCTGCTGCCGTCACCAAAAAGATTGCAACCACAGAATTCGGTACTCTTCCTCATCTGGATGCATCTTTACTGAAGGTCACCAAGACTACTACACCTATGAATGTTCCTGCAGCAGGCGATCCAATCATCAATACTGCCTCTCAGTGTACCGACCACATGGTCACAGCCGTTTGGAACAACATGACGGGATGGGGTGTACCAGAGTTGAAACCATATGGAAATCTTTCTTTGGCTCCCACAGCTTCTGTTTTACAGTAAGTTGTTTTCTGTTTTCCGCTGTTGTTTTTTTGTTTGCTAGATGGGAGGCGCTTGAGCCATAGCCACCATTTTTCTCGTTTGAGGATGATGTGGGATGGGATAGGATCTCCCAACCGACGTCTCATATCACGACCTAAGCAAGAACCATACTGTGTTTTTTGACCAATTATGTATTCCGAATGCAGATATTGACTCATTTTAGTTATGCAACTGAATGTTTCGAGGGCATGAAAATGTACCGTGGATTCGACGGAAAACTCAGATTGTTCAGACCGGATTGCAACTGTCAGCGAATGCTCACTTCCGCTACCCGTATTTCGTTGCCAGGATTCGATCCCAAGGAGTTGGAGAAACTCATTGTTGCTTTGGTTTCTGTGGACGGTCCTAAATGGCTCCCAGAACCTGGTACTTTTCTCTACTTGCGACCCACTATGATTGGTAGCGCTGGAGCACGTGAGTATACCCTTTGCTAGATTTTGACTTTGGCGCTGTGTCAAATGTGAAGTATACTTTTTACTAGAGAAATCACTAACACGAATACGTAGTTGGTGTTGCTGCGCCTAAGGAATGTACAATGTTCATCATCTCCACCTTCATGCCTTCAATGGATTCGCCCAAGGGAATGAAGCTTCTTGCCAGTCAAGAAGGTGTTCGTGCCTGGCCCGGTGGATTCGGTTTCGCAAAAGTAGGAGCCAACTATGGACCTACTTTGATGGCAAACTCGGAAGCTCGTGCCCGTGGCTACGATCAAGTCTTGTGGTTGCTCGATGGAATGGTTACCGAGGCTGGAGCTAGCAACTTCATGGTTGTGTGGGAAACTAAGGAGGGTAAGAAACAATTGATCACTGCTCCTTTGAAGGATAAGATCATCTTGGACGGTGTTACCAGAAGAAGTGTTTTGCAGTAAGTATCCTCTTATCTCATTGCCTTGAAAATTGTTCTGACCCCAAAACTACAGACTCATCCGGGAACGTATCCCCGAGCTTGAAATCGTGGAGCGCAACTTCACCATGGATGAGCTTGCCGAGACCGCCCAAGAAGGTCGTCTCATTGAGGCTTTCGCTTGTGGAACTGCATACTTCGTCGTTCCCGTTGCACAAATCAACTACAGAGAGAAGGATATCGATATTCCTATGGTTAAGGGCAACATCGGAGAATACGCTGCAAAGGTTAAGCAATGGTTGGTCGATATCATGTACGGCAACGTAGAGCACGAATGGGGTGTTGTCATTGATGAAGTTGGTGCATGAATCACTCCTGCTCCATTGATTGGATTCGGGTAATTCGGTACTCTGGATTGTTCTGGCTATGGGATTCGCTTGTACAGTGGAGATTTATTCTCCAATTAGCCAGATCGTCCTCTTTTCTTGTTTCGTCTCTCGTGTTTGCACTTTTGGCCGGTGGGAGGGGAAAAAATGACTAGCTACTTCATGGCGCAGATTGGTTTGCTTTTCTTTAGGGCTTGGTTCAGCGACATAGATATCTGTTTGCATAGAGAGAGTCGCATCAGCGTTGATGACTGGCTTTTTGTGTATTTTTGATAGAACAGTGAATATCACAGCAATGATTTTATGAAGAAAAAAAAGTTTATGTTTGACCCCATTTAATCAGTGTGTGCTTGACTTTGAGGATACTATTTTCAATGTGTTCAAGGAAGCGTACATTCATTACTAGGAATCTTAGAAATCGTGAGTCGAGTCTTTGAAGTCTAGATGTGTGGGCATTTCGGTTTCTGATGGATTGCTATAGTGTTTTCAAGCCAGAGTTTGGGATGTAGCTGGCGTTCAATGATATCAAGATACGGCCGGAAAGTGGACTCGGATTCATCGAAGAGGCACCATGTAGAAGACCAGTCAAGATCCAACCAATCTTCGCTGTGCAGAATATTGATTGAAAGATTTGATTGTTATGTAGAGTTTAATGTACAGATATATAGAGTGGGTATATACTGTATTGTATGTATTAAACTTATTAGCTCCTCCCAGCAAAACAGTACAGCAATATCATTGATTGTCCAAGGGACATAAGTATGAGCAAATATGAAATATGGCTAGTGTCTATTCGTATCATGTATTCCATCTCAAATACCACAGCACGAGCAGCTCAGTACTAGTGAGCAAATTTCGACAAATCCCCATTCACCACATCATTGCTCCTACAATTCTTTGTCGTACTTTGTCTGTTGTTACATCGATTTCCTGCACAGAATGTATTTGTCAGTATATGTATATGCATTGATGTATGTGTGCCTTCCTGCACAGTAAAAACAAAGAGCATCATACCTTCTCCGAAGCTTTCATCTTCTTAATCGCATCACTTCCTACTTCATCCAATTCTTCCATCAAAACATTCATTTGAGCCGTACATTCGGCATCCAACAATAGCATGTCGACATAATATCCCTCATCCGCATCCTCCTCATTAAACATCTCGCCCCCAAACACCCGAGTCGCAAATGTCTTGAACTCGGACTGTAAGCCCTCCCATTCTTTCCAATAGCCGTCGAGCTTATTGTCTTCCTCTTCGATCGCCTGACCGAATTGCGCAACACGCTTACCAATCTCGACGATCTCGGAAATGCGACAACCTTTTTGCTGCACGGTCATTTGGATTTTCTGCGCGGCCAAGGGCGCGCTGAGAGCTTGTGCGTTGTGGGAGATGGTTTGGAGGAAGGATTGATCGATCGTTTTGTCCTTGGTGACTTTTTGGAGAAGAACGCTGTGAGCTTCTTCGAAAGCAGCTTTGCCGGCGCGCAGAATGTGGGTTCGAGCTTCTTCGAGGGACTCTGGATCTTGAGTCAGTTTTGAACTACTCCATGAGTATAGTATGTGGAAGTCCAATACTCGCCTTCAAAAGCAGAAGAAAGGTCCTCGGGTTGAAGGGATGATTCGGCTCCATGTGCATGTTTTGGAAGCTGAGATGGACGTGTATCTTTACCACCCTGTTGCAATTTCCGAACCTCATTCTTTGGAATTGGTTTTACCACGATGGATTTCTTGGCTTGCTCTCGGGATTGTTTGGGTGTTGATGCAGCCTTGGATACTTTGGATGTCTTGGGTTTTGATTTTGCGCCATGTGCTTTACTTCCATTGGGAGATTTGCGGTGGGTGGCTGGAACGTCTTTTTGACGGTTTGCTTGACGTGCCATCATGACGCCTAAGTATATTACTATGTATGTAGGGATGAACTATACTGGAAGAGAAATATGAACCTCTTCGTGGGCGATGGAGTTGTTTGGATGATCATGAAAATTCTGTAGTGGAACTTTGAAAATGAAAGTGAAAGTGAAGATGAAAGTTGCTTAAAACAATCCCATTTCAAAGGAGGAAGGAGCTATCTGAACGAAACGCGTATTCACCGGGCTCATAATGAAATTTCACCACATGAAATACAATAATGAAACTCTCCTCCATAAACAGAAGCAATTTTCCTTCCAATTATATAATTTAGAATTTCTTTGGGCAATCTGGCGGTTGTCATTGTTCTCGTTGATTACAATGTCTGAACTCCAGGAAAGATCTTCAGTCACTGTCCTGAACTAGCCAAGGTTTCATCTTGATTCTGAATTTTCAATGTCTAACTTTCAGACATCTCAACAAAGGTAAAAGGAAAATAAAGGTTACAAATCTGAATATACCAAGTCCAAGGTATCTGAGGTAACCTTTACAACAGATGCAATTCCACATCCCGAACGCCAACTTTACGCCGCAACCTCTTGACAAAACCAAGACACTTTTCAAAACCTCAACAGCTAGATATAACTCCCCCCCCCATCCGTGGAGGTTACATTTCTCTGAAGAAAACTTGCCAGCACATCACCTCTCAGTGCCAATTATGCTTCCAGCTTTAACCTCTTTTCGGTTACTGTCACAATCTCCTTCCAATCCTTCATGGCTCCATCCCCTACATCTCCACAAGCGAGCTCCTTTTCCTGAGGTCGCAAAACCTCAAACCATCCCTCGCCCTCATCCCCATCAGGACCAATACCCCATTCCTGCTCCAAGATCTTGATTTGACTCTTCGTTACTGGATGTCTCCACATCGCGGTATTCATCGCCGGAGCTACAACAATCCTCTTTTTGCCACTGAAAACCATCTCTCCATTCGCATTCATACTATTCTGAGTAGAAACTTCCACTTCTCCAGTCGTATCCCATGCTCTCACTACACTCGTAAGCAAATTGTCGCTAAAACCACCAGTAATCTTAGCCATCGTATTAGCGCTCAATGGCGCAATGACAAGCATGTGTGCCCATCTTCTCAACTCTATGTGCAAAATACTCTGGCCACGCTTCCATGGATGAATCCATTCTTCCTCGTCCAGGAACACACCTTGCACGTTGGCGTATCGGTGAAAAGTATCGATATGTGGTTGTTCTATGCTTTGACCCTGAAGAAAATTGGTTGCAGACTTGGTAAGGATGACACAGATTGAGAGATTGGGATAATGTGACAAAGCGGATAGGATGTTGGGAATCTTAATGGTTGCGACGGATCCACTGGCTGCTAGGAGGAGGTGACGTTTACCATCGGAAGCATGATCCGCAGCCGTGAAAGGGTGTGATGTTCCAGATACTCGGGTTCGGTGCTCGTCACGCCCGGTATGGATCATTTGCAACATGGTGGATAAGACTTTGATGAGTTCGAATAACTTGAATGTTGGGAAGCAATTAGGAGATTGATTATGTGTGAGAGTATGGGAGTGGAGGATTTTTACATGCTGTAGTAACGAAAGAAGGGATTTGTAATGAAAAGACTAGGAATCTGGAATGATTCAATACTCTCTATTCACTCATCATTATTCATTGTTATTGGATGTTTTCTATCGAATGATTGATTCATAAGGCTGAATGCAGTTATCGATAATATTACATACCACAGACATTGATTGGTTCGATAATGGTTAGCTCTTCCGAATCTCCATTCTCCGAAGCTCTTAAACATTATCAATCAAGAGGCAAGGCCACCAAAAAATACATCAAATTCCACAAACTTGTACAATAAGATATCATATTTCAATATGATTGCCAAACCAATGTTGTCTTCGGTATGTCGAGTTTCTCTAAGTCATTGAGAACCTGGGTATATTACCTGGAATACTAATTAACATTATTCAGATGTTCCGACAAGCTGCCCGCCCCGCGGTATTTGCCTCCAAATTCTCGACCCCTCGATTCTCCCTCATCGCATCCAGATATCTTTCTACAGAAGTTCGCAAGCAGATTGATCAAGTTGTTGGTTCAAAGCCAGTTGTTCTTTTCATGAAAGGCACACCAGAAAACCCAATGTGTGGTTTCTCAAAGGCAACTATTCAGATCTTGAGCCTGCAAGGCTTGAACCCAGAGAAGTTTGCTGCTCTTAACGTACTTGAAGATGAAGGTTTAAGACAAGGTTCGTCTCCAGAAACACCAATCTTTGTTGTATGCTATATGGAATCTAACATGCATTTCAAACAGGAATCAAAGAATACTCCGAGTGGCCAACCATACCCCAACTTTATGTCAACAAGGAATTCATCGGTGGATGTGATATTTTGGTCGCAATGCACCAGAATGGAGAACTAGCAAAGGTTTTGGAAGAAAACAAGGTCTTGGTTGAGGATTCATCATAAAACCTCCCGACCACCTCGAAGACTTTGATATGTACAACAATGGAGGTGAGGGAAGAGAAGATTCACTGCGCAACGCAGTTAACCTTTCTAAGTATACCATGGCTCATGAGGAATGAGTAGACATACGAAGCAGATCTGGTAATATAATGATGATTTTCACGATATCTTGGGGAATATAAAGGATAATAAATATGTGTACATCTCATACAAGTATTGAAGTACCCGTGAGAAGTTTTCATTTGTATACCAGGTCAGCACTTGTGTGCTTTTCGATCAATCCCAAGGATGAATTCTTAGGAAGGCTTCACATCTAGAATGAGAATTCTTCATTGATATGCATAATTTGCCATCTACTCGAGTAATTCTTACTCTCACCAAAACATGCATTTTGTCTAATCCCCCCACCAATGATGAATGATTTCGGCATCGATCGATCTTTCTCGGTTGTTACTATTAGCTCCAGGTTCGGCGGGAGCTACAAGCGACCAGTGGCGGCTACAGTACATATTATATTCCTTCCCCCACGTCAAACGGCCCGCAAACCAAAGTGCAGTGACGTATGGAACTAACAAACATTCCATTGTAAGTATCAGATCAAGGAGCAAGTACTCCGGTGCATAAGTAAGGTAGGTAGGAACAAAAGAATAGGTGATGGGTTTTTATATTTTTTGTATATAAATCTTGCTAATCTCTTCTACCTACCTACCACATCTTATGATATAAAGACAAACTGTAATCTTCTCTCTTTCTACTTCAATCTTTAATACGTCAAAATGGTTGGTACAAATGAACTTCGAGCTGAGAATCTCTTCTCTATGAAGAATGATGTTTGCGTCATCACTGGAGGTGGAACTGGGATTGGATTAATGTATTTTCCCTCTCCCTCTCTCTCCATAACTGGAGTATTTGTATCTGACGATATACTGATAATCAAATAGGGCAGCCCAAACATTAGCTGCAAATGGAGCAAAAGTATACATCACAGGTCGTCGAATGGAAGCTCTAGAAAATGCAGCCAAGCAACACTCTCCCACATCAGGAGGTTCTATTATCCCGTGAGTCTTGTACCTGGTCCCCTTTTCTATCATCTATCTGTCAACCAGTACGGTAGTAAATCTAGGTAGCGTATCTAACCCCAAACCTCTAGAATTGGTCCCTGTGACGTGACCAGCAAAAAGGATCTCGAGAACCTCGTTTCCGAAATCAGCAAGAAGGAGAAATACATCAGTCTACTCCTCGCGGGCGCGGGGATCTCCGGGCCCAAAGCCGAGCCCAATTCCTCCGACGCCGTCGAGCTGAAAGATAAACTGTTCAATTCGGAAAGTTTCGAGGAGTGGGGTACGACCTTCAACACTAACGTCTCGGCGGTGTATTTCACCACGGTCTGTTTTCTCCCGCTGCTACAGGCGGCTCATAAGGTTCATGGACGCATGTCCAGCTCTGTGATTGTGATTAGCAGCATGAGTGGAATTATGCGACATGCGCAGGGACATTTCTCGTATAATGCGGCCAAGGGCGCGACGGTGCATCTGAGTAAGTTGATGAGTTATGAGTTTAAGGAAATTGGCGTTAGGGTGAATAGTATCGCGCCGGGATATTTCCCGAGTGAGATGACGACGGGGGAGAGTGATGAGACGCAGAAGAGTTATTTGGATGAGGAGAAGGTTCAGCAGAAGGGTCATGTGCCTATGCAGAGGGGTGGAAGGTATGTGTTTTGTTTTTCTCTTTAGGTTTGAGAATGCTGGAAAGCTAATGATATATATAGTGACGAGGAAATGGCAATGGCTGTGTTATTTTTATCAAAGAATAATTATGTTAATGGAGAGATTATTGCAGTTGACGGTGGTGTTCTTTTGGATGTTCCAGGAAGGTAACTAATGTAACGAGATGGGATGAAATGAGGGCGAGGAGGAGATGTTCACGCTGTACCTAGATGTCGATGTAACAGAAACAAATAAAAGTAACTAGGAAAATATGAATAAGCGATTTATGCCATATCAGACTAGTAATGGATAGTTGATTGCAATTGAACAAGTCCTGATCAAGACATTATTGGGGCTGAGATATTGAAATACATTCGTCCGAACTTATTAACGTAACCCTCAGAACAATCAGCGCGGATTGAGGACCCAAAACCAATAACGCTTAGACGAAATACAATACAAAAGATAAACCATGATCAATCAATCAATATACGCAATCATGTCCCCCACCCAAAAATTCCATTACTCTGACCCCTATTATTTCCAAGCCACCCTGCCCACATCTCCCCGTCTCCCTCCCGTTCGCGCTCCTGAATCTCCCTCGCAAACTCCTCATCCATCTGCGTCGCCTCCGCCATCAATCTCTTCCCTTCCCTCCTCGACTCGCCGGATTCCTCCAGAAGCCTGTCTACTTCTTGTTTCTTCTTCATTCTTTCCAACACATCACCATGTTCCTCTCTCCCATTTAAATACATACTCTCTAAAACGACCCCTAGAGTCCTAGCTTCGACTTCATTGGCTGTCGCGCTAGCTAGGAGAGCAGAAGCTTGAGCATAGATGTGTGAGGAATTTTGTGCGTAAGGGGAAGGAACGGGAGGATGGAGAGGAATGGAGGATCTTGGGATTTGAGGGGGGATGTGAGGTGGAGGGTGAGGAAGAGTAGAAGAGAGAAAAGGCCATCTTCCTCCGTGCATAGTTGCCATACTAGAATTCTGCATCCCAAGAAACGGGTTGTGGAATGAAGGAGCAGGAAGATTTGGAAGCGGTGGAAATATCGCGCTTGGTATCTCTGGGACGTCTGGATAAGTGGGAATAGATGCAGAAGGTAGACCATGTGAAGGATCTCTTTTATTACATTTCTCCTTCTTTTTCTTATCCTTCTTATCTTTCTTCGCGCCTTTTCTCTCCGCTTTGCGTGTGCTTTTTCGTTCTTTCCTATGTGCTTTCTTCAATCCTCGCTGTTCTTTGCGCAGAATCTTGCGAATGGTTTTTTGAGATTTCTGCTCGTCATTGAATTTTCGTAAGAGATCGGCGACTTCTTTGCGGAGGGTGGCGAGGTCTTCGGTGGATGCGAAATTAGCGATGTTGGGATTGGGATTCTTCTTGTTTTTCTTCTTGTTCTTGTTCTTTTTCGCGGATTGGATGTCTTGTCTTAATCTTTGAATGGTTTTTTGCGTCGTAGGATACTCGGGGTGGTGAAGCCACGCTAGTAGGGATTCTTTGGCGGCGGGGAGTTGGTGATCGGGAAGATGGTCGGGGGAGGGGAGGGAAGCGAGCGATGTGGTGGAGGAGGAACTGGAGGAGCTGGATGAGAAAGAAGACGAGGATGAAGACGAGTGATCTCTTTGTTCTCTTTCGTGGGGATTGTGATGGAATTGTGAGCGTCCACGGTGATACCCTTCAGATTCGTGTCTTCCTCCCCGGTGGTGATCCCGCGTGTGTGGACCGCCTCTTCCCCTCCCTCTTCTTTCATACCGTTCTTCTGGATTTTCTGCCCATCTCCAGTTAGCCTCTCGCGAGTGTATACCCCCTCTTCCCCATCCGTTCCTCCCATGCCACCTTTCTGGGTCTTGTTCCCGTCCTTGATTGATCTCGGGCGCTTGCATACCCCCCCTTCCTCTCCCTCCAAATTGACGGCCCCCGATACTAACTCCATTCTCATCAGCTACAACCCCTTGACTACCACCAATTCGCAATCCCTTGTCATCAGCAACAAGCATGTTACCAATACGCAAACCGTTCGAGTTGGCCACGATACCGTTCCTTCCAATTCTGAGGCCCTCATCATCCACAACCATGGAACCTAATCTAAAGCCCCGAGCTCCTTGACCAGACATAGAATAACAACTCAAAAAGCATCTCCGGTCTCGATCTCGCTCAGGAAAGCGCGGCTCTTCTTCATCCGGTATCCAAGAACCGGGAATGTTACCGTTTCTATCCCGAAGTAACTCAGGCTGTTCAACATCAATGCGAAGAATCTCCAATCCACGAGGAAGAAAGAACCCTGAGTTCCAGGTTTGGATCACTTTATCTACATGTCCTACCCAATCCTTATTAGATGCAGTGACGGGGTGACGAAGAGGACGAAGCTGTGCTTGAACTTCGTTCATGTCAAGTCTAGAATAATCATGTTCATTGAGCGTAAGTCTGTGCATGCGCTCGTCAATTAATTCAGCTTTGAGTTTGCGGTCAGCAACATCGTGGTTGACATCGAGGGTATGGTTGGGTAGTAAGTAGTTCACAAAGGTTGACCAATCTTGCTGTGTGATGCCATAGTCCGGCGCGGAAAATGGGATGGGGATATCCTCTGGTGCACTTCTCGGAGTAACATATATTTCATGTTGAGTAATTCTGGGAGCCGAAAATTGTAGCGGTAATGGTCGTGACTCGAAGTAGTTGTGAGGAAATAAATTTCTGGGATTGTTTTCTGAGTCTAGGATAGCGTGAGGTTAGTGAGCTATGTAAAACACCATTTTTTTTTCAACCTCTAACCAAGCTCCTTATTGCTTCTTTCCGTGAAACATGCAAATGAATTTCTATACGAGACGAGCGCACCGTCTGGTTAAGGAGCTAAAATAACGGTGCTTACGTTGATCATCAGGCTCGGTTGGTGAGTAAGGAGGAGTATATATCAACGAATTTTCAGTCGATGATGAATCTGATCGAACTCTTCCATTCACTCTTGATGCATCATCTGCTTCTGTCGATGTGGGAGTTGGGATCGTAGTATTGGTATTCGAAAAGACATCGGCTTCGCTATATGGAGGAGGGGCAGTCTGATCCATGGTTCTAACACTATTGATCGCGATGAATGAAAAAGGAATGGAGGCAAGATGTTATTTTGACGACAACGTAGGATAGAGCAAGAAATGAATGTTTGGATGAAATACTAGAGAATAGCGATAGCTTGAGCTTTTCAACAAAAGCCAACCTGATCGACTCAATAGAGCTATATATTCAGCCCTGTGGTAGATCAGCACCCCCACATCAGCAATCATTCATATCTGCCAATCTCAGTCCCCCTTCCGTCTCACAACATGCTTAAGCGAGAAGATAAGTCACCATTCTGCAAGATTACGCGTTCGAACGAAGGCAGCCACGGTAGCAAGAGAGTCGAGAATGACTATTGGCACCAAGAAAATGTACTGTTTGTTGATTGCATTACAAACGTCATTGTAATGAAGTTGTTGATATCGATGATTCCACCACCAAAGCTTGGCTCAAAGTACGAGTTCCGAACATCTTAGTATTGTGATACGTTCGAAGCCTTCCATATATGGATTTCTCATACACTACTGGCTCTAGAATCATGCCTTTCGCAATCAAAGCTGGGATCTCTTCAGTATGATTTTATTCTCAGAGTGAAAGCTGTACAGACAGAGCCTAATTAATTATCCCCATCAAAAGAAGTGCATAACGTGGAATCAAATTGGAGCCATAGAAGATTATTTTCAATTTTCAAACCACCTAATTACATTTACAATTGGAGTTCTGGCTTATGAAAATTGATGTCTTCCGGTTTATAGTGCTCTGCAACTATCCTGTATAGATAAGACGGCGCATGGGCTCCTCTGTTAAGTTTGTTAGTAGTATTCATCGAATTACATTGTGAAAACTTACAAGTTGGTAATATAAAGTTCAACTAAATCAGGGGAGACATAATCGAAAAGAGGATTGTCGACTTCAACCTTATCCACAAACGCACCGTCCTCAAATCCCACTACGTTTCCAGGGTCGCCGTATTCAATGAGCGATTCAAACTCGAAAGGATATTCCGGACTGAGCTTATAGACACCGCTAACAACAATGACTGGGATTCTATGAAACTTTGCAGCTTTTGCTATTATGCGTGCCCCAGCTGCGGCTACCAATCCACCGTTAGCAATAACAGTATGAGTAGCCAAAATAACCTTGGTAACTCTCGGCATTACTGCAAACACTGCAGCGTCTGTTATAGCAATAACCGTGATTCCAGCAGCCGAAAGTGGCTTTAACATGGTTTCTGCGTCCAAATCGTCATCGGTTTCTTGCTCTCCTTTTCCGGTAATTGTAGAATGAGTCGTAGAATGGTCATTTGGGTACGATTCAGCAACTATTACAATAAAATTTCTTTTCTCTGCGGCTTTCAGTAGGAACTTTTGGACACTCCTTGAGGAGCCGTGAATGAGTATAACTTCTTTCTCAGAAATTTGCTCCTGCGCATAACTAGAAATTTGATCGTCGACTTGATCGAGTTCCTCGATAATTTCCTCGATGCCTTGTATGATTTCGGCCTTGAGATCCTTCGTGCTAGAGGCCATCTTGTGCGCAAGTGAAGTCATATCTACCACAGATCTGCCATGAGGAGACGCGGTTCCTGGGGGGGTTGAGGCCGGTGAAGGGGCAGCGGAGAGGAGGTTGAACATTGATTGCTGCACAGGCATGTTATACTGGGCAGCATATGAAGTATGAGATGTTGTTAGAGGAGGCCTCGAGCTGTGTGACGCCCTTGGTAATGCCACATCGCTGAAGCCCTCACGCATGGGCGAACCAATTTGACTTGTCGATGCTGAATCGCTAACATCCTCGCTGCGATCCTCTTTTGCTTCGTCTCTGATCATGCCCAAGACTCTGTGAACGATATTGCTAACGACCATTTCCCTTGGTTGTGCTTCGATCAACCTTTGTCCTACTTTCCGAACCCGTTCCAAAAGTTTTGTAATATCCGTCCATCTTTGCTTTGCGACAACTTGGAGTAATAAATGAGCTGTGGCTATGGCGCATGATCTCGAAGTCCTTATCTGTCTTCGTTTCAAGAGTCTGAAATGTGTCAATCGTTTGTTGATTGAAGGTTATGGAAAGGTACATACGATATCAAATTTTCTATGGATGACTCAACTGGTTGACTCTTTAATGATTTTAAGTATGCACCAAGGTTTGGCGCATACCCTCCACTATGAACTGGAGGCATATCTTTGTTGTTTCAAAGATTGGAAGTGACGGTCAAAGTTTCGGGTGGATAAATTTCGAGGGGAAAGATTTCAAGTAGTAAGTGGTGTGTGGTTGCTTGGAGTTGAAGTTGTCGAATATTTGTGCGGAGTGCGATTGCCCCTCAATGAAGTTTTGCCGTTTGGGATTGGGATTGGTGAATCAGATCAAATGCTCTTAGAGTTACCGATACTGTCACTGTTACTGTCGTATTCGGATGTTTCTGTATGTCGAATTTCGAATGAATACCTTGAAAGTTGTATGCTATCCTAACTGATGTCTCAATTTTGTATAGCATAAAAGAATTATGTTCGTTGAAGATCTCTTTTATTTTTGGCAGACCGACTACTGGTACTAGAATGCTAAAAGTGCGGGGACGGGTGACTCAGGATGAAGGGGATCGATCATAGAGTTATTACTTTTTAACGCAACCAACTCGGAAGATCCAAGATCCAAGGTCCAAGGTCCAAGGTCCAAATTTCAGTGTAAAAAGCAACATCAAATCACTAATCATTTCTTCTTCCAGATACGACAACCTCGGAATGAAAGGGGGTTGAACGAACAGCTATCGTGCATCTTAGAGTTCCGTTTGGCGCCTCAAATCGAAATGGATTGTTGTATGATGCTTTTGCTCCCTCCCTAGGTACAGCACAGAGTCCACTACGTACACTCACTCTTTCACTCTGTACTATGCAAGTAAGATCTTATACTATGTAGACACTAGATCATACCGGCCTCCTGGCGAAGCTTGACCTTGAACGAAGACTATCGGTTCCATACCTAGGTAGGCAATCTAAGGGGGGCAGGTTCCATCAAAATGAGAAACCTCACCATACAGATGATTGAATGCAAAGTATACCAATCGTACCTACCAACCAATCCGACGCAGAAGGAAGTCACTCCTCAAGAACTGCCTAGGAGTTGAACAGTGAGTTTGCATTAAGGAGTGAGTGCAGTGAGTGCAGTGAGTGCAATTGGAAAGCATTTAACAACCCGCAGTATACTAGTATTCGTATCCATTCACTCATCCGCCATCACCAATTGTGTTGTCCTACTTATGAACAATCCCGCCTTCCCGCTGTGTTGTGTTGTGTTGTGTTGTGTTGTTGTAGATAATCTTGAACTGTACTTACTGTACTTACTGTACCTACCTACCTTGCCTAGATATTAACACGGTTTCATATGACAATTATAATTCGGCCGCTCACTCTTCCTCATCGACATTCTAACTTATAATTCCTCTTCCCATTCCCATCGACACTCTTTTTCCTACTCTCTCCCTCTTCCCCTTCCTCTATTTCTTCCGAGGTCAATCATTTTCTTCATCTAGAACAGCGATTTCCTCCAAAAGTTTAGCTTGTTTTAATCTATTCTCTAAGATCCTATTTTGACCAGAGCAGCCAGCGACTTTGCCTTTGTACTCTACATATACCTGTACCGTACGGAGCACCCATACCTACTCGAGTACACTAACAACGATACGCTATTACAATATATCAATAATTCACAACTCTCACTTCTTTCCATTTTTCCATTCAAGTCGACGATCACTTGCGCGAAAAACACCATCCGGGATTCTAGGAAAATAAACGCAAACATACTTTCCGAACCGAACTCCTATATCATAGACTTTTGGAGCTTTGCGCTCCTAGCGTTTTTAGTTGGACTATCGCGCATCTCCATTGTTTATGATCGACTGCTAGAAACCTTCCTCCATGGATCGGAAACCATTATGAATTCTTTGAATATCCTTTCGGGGCGAGGCTCTCCTACGCATTCTCCCTCACTTTCGCGTTCAAATTCTCTGGGAAATGTATTGGCATCCGTAACTACGTCAGAATCAAGAAGGAATTCGCGGGAAGAGGCTTACAGCGAGGAGCCGAAAGGACTGGATCAGGAGGATGCGCCAGACTCGAATGCCGATGATGACGATACAATACACGAATCTATACCACTATTACACAAAGAAGGCATGGCTTATCATACAAGTGAACATGTGGGCATAACGAGAATGCTTTATGACTCTATACGATGGGTGCTATCAACTCTCGTTGCGCCGGGGGTATACGTTATAGCTTGCTTGTATAATGAACGGGGTCATTTCGCTCCAATATCTCAATTCAGAAGACTATTTGGTGGTACAAATGGGCATTCAAGTACGCAATCGACGGGGGGGTCGCCCATTTCCGAGAAAAGTAGCATAAGTCATTTGGCCAACGGGAAGCTATCGGCGGTACACGCATCCTCATCAAGAGATCCTCCCTCGCCGAATTCCTCGTCCTTCATCTCATCTGAGTCTGAATCAGATGACGACCGACTCCTTAGCGAGACAGATAAATCTGCAACGAAAACATCAAATCGCCAAACACGTTCAAAATCCCTGCAAAGTTCTGACGAGATCTCACCCGCGAGGAGATCCATTCGCATCAAGATCCATAGCGACGAAAATTTGAGGCAGCGGAAGCACCGGAAGGCATCGTCAACAACTACTCAGAGTGATGGATCCGGCGGCTCCATGTCCGCTACCGACATGGCTGCTGCGATGATGAAGTCACCTACGTCCTCCGCAACTTCCTCTCTCCTTATGACAAAATATCCACGAGCTCCAGCACCACCGCGACCTCTCATACCTCGACGACAACCATCCTATACTCTTGACGCTCCCGTGGGGAAACTCACCCAGAAGACTCTTATTCTTGACCTTGACGAAACCTTGATACACAGTATGAATTATGGAGGTCGAATGAGTGCTGGCCATATGGTGGAAGTGCAGATCACAAACCTCATGGGTGCAGGGGGCGCTGGTCCTCAACATCCAATATTGTATTATGTGAATAAGAGGCCATACTGCGATGAATTTTTGCGACGTGTAAGCAGCTATGTGCGCCACAAAGGAATTTTACTGACAGAATCTGCAGGTTTGCAAGTGGTATAACTTGGTTGTTTTCACGGCATCACTTCAGGATTACGCAGACCCGGTCATAGATTGGCTAGAACAAGAGCGTAAATTCTTTTCTGCACGATATTATCGACAGCACTGTACCTATCGAAACGGCGCCTTTATTAAAGATCTCAGCTCTGTTGAGCCTGATCTTAGTAAAGTTATGATTTTAGACAATAGCCCTGTGAGCTATCTGTTTCATCAAGGTGAATATATATTAGTATGAGGTATTGAATGGAGCTAACAATTCGATAGATAATGCAATACCCATAGAAGGGTGGATCAATGATCCCACGGATAATGATCTTCTACATCTGGTACCCCTTTTGGAAGGACTCCAGTATGTGACGGATGTACGAGCTTTTCTTGCATTACGCGGTGGGGAGGATGGGAAGCATATGACTTCTTAGGGAAGAGATGAGTTTGGAATGTTAAGTTCAGAAAGGAGTATAGGGATACTCATGCATAAATATTTTAATGATACCTTTATATCAAGTTTCGACTACACAGCTATTTAAATTGCCGCACTGTGGTCGAGAGATCTTAGTCTTGGAAAGGATGTGAAGTTTCAATAGAAATCTTCAAGCTCCAAGGGGATTAAAAGCCTCGGATACATGATTATTGTTACAAATTCAGTTCAATGTGACATTTGCAATAGTAGATATCGTCTGAGTCGGTAGTATATACATGTACATTGTGTATGACATACACCAAGTTCAAAAATCGATATCTTCCCATTGACGAATCAGAATTCGAACTACCGATCAGTAATAGAAATCCCATGAAAATTAGACGGTTAAAGTACATCTTGGAGTACTAGAACATGGATATGGATATCGAACTATCTAGATCATCAATTAACTTTCATCATAACTATCCCACGCTGCAACTAAGCGGATTCAAATGCAAGCAATCATCTGTATGTGTTGTAACATTATTTTGGCATTCAAGCCACAACTAAAAAGTATTCCCTGTACTCTCCGTAGAGAAGTGAAGAACTCTTATCGTTGCAGATAAGGTGTGACGCTTGTCCCGATAAGGCAAAGCTTGAATTGAGCTTCATGATTGCGGGGTTCGGTCCTACAGTGTAGTGTATCTGCCAGGCTGAACCTTTTTTTTTTTTCGGAACCAACCATACCAAAATTTCTGCGGATCAAATCCGAATCTACCAATTTGACTCGACATCTCCATCATCACCACGCCGCCTACCAACTTCTACAATCCGAGTTTTACTCAATCCTGACCCCGTTGAAACAATAATGCGATAGCAAAAAAGTTCAGCATAATTTCAAGCATATCCTCAAATAACTTCACCTGTCTATGCATCATTGCCGGTAGCACATAAACAGTATGCCCATGATGTCCAGCGGCACGTCGATCAAGGCGCAAGTCGTCGACAAGATTCCGAAGCGGTTCAAAGAATTGAAATTCGGAATCCAGTCAAATCAAGACATTGTCAATCAGGGCGTTATAGAGGTTTCGAATAAAATGCTATATAATGTCGACGCTGGTCGAACTGCTATTCCACACGGCCCTGTTGACCCAAGATTGGTAGGGGAAATCCGTCTTGATCTATAAATTTTACCTACTAACACGCTCTTCCAGGGGACTTCCAGCAAATCTGGGCGTTGCGATACTTGTGATAAAGGCCTCCAAGACTGCAATGGTCATTTCGGACATGTCAGATTACCGCTTCCAGCTTTTCATATTGGGTACTTGAAATTAATTATCATGATTTTACAAAACGTTTGCAAGGTAATTTGAAAGCCTGATCTACCTGCGAGTAGCCGGATGCTGACCTTCAAAGACATGCGCCAGAGTTCTACTCACTGATGCCGAGCGACGACAATTTTTGAAAGAATTACGAAAGCCGGGTATTGATAATCTGAAGCGCACGCAAATCTGTAAGAAAATCAACGAACAATGTCGAAAAGCAAGTCAATGCCCTCATTGCAATGCTACCAACGGTCAGATCAGAAAAATCAGTCCCGTTCGATTGGCACACGACAAATACACAAAATACAACAAGTCTACTGCAGCTAAGAAGGTAGTTCCACCCGGAATGGCTGAATACCAAAAATCCTTCGAAGAAGCAAAGAAGCACAATACAGAGTTGGAGAAACATGTAAAGAAAGTTTATGAGGATTTGCACCCATTGAGGGTGCTGAACCTATTCAAGTTAATTACGCCGAGCGATTGCGAACTTCTCGGAATCAATCCCGCTGAAGGTCGCCCTGAGATGTTTCTATGGCAGTTCGTTCCGGCACCCCCAATCTGCATTAGGCCATCTGTTCAGCAAGATGGAGGAAGTAATGAGGATGATATTACCACCAAGCTTGCCGAGATTGTTAGCATGGCCTCTTTGCTAAGAGCAGCACTACACAAGGGTCAGGCAGTCCAAACAATCATGGAGCAATGGGACTTTCTTCAACTACAAATCGCCATGTATGTCAATAGCGACGTTCCAGGTCTTCAGCAACCTGGTTTCGGAAAGGCAATTCGGGGATTTTGTCAACGGTTGAAAGGAAAACAAGGTCGTTTCAGAGGTAATTTGTCTGGAAAACGTGTGGACTTCTCTGGACGAACCGTCATTTCTCCCGATCCTAATCTTGGTATCGATGAAGTTGCCGTTCCTATCTTGGTGGCAAAGAATCTTACATATCCTGAACGGGTTCAACGTCAGAATATCGAGAAACTGCGTCAGTGTGTTATCAACGGACCGAATGTTCATCCTGGTGCGCAGCAAATTATCAAGAAAGATTCCAATCACAAGATATCTTTGAAATTTGCTAAACGGGATAATGAGGCAAAATTCCTCAAGATAGGAGACGTTGTTGAAAGACATCTTGAGGATGGTGATATTGTACTTTTCAATCGTCAGCCATCTCTGCACAAGCTCAGTATCATGAGTCATTATGCCAAAATCAGACCCTGGAGAACATTTCGTCTGAATGAGTGTGTTTGTAATCCCTACAATGCAGATTTCGATGGTGACGAAATGAATCTTCACGTACCGCAAACAGAGGAGGCGCGAACTGAGGCAATCAATCTTATGGGAGTGAAAAACAATCTTTCCACCCCCAAGAATGGAGAACCTATCATTTCTGCTACCCAGGATTTCATCACTGCAGCTTATTTACTCTCCAATAAAGAGAACTTTTTCGATCGCAAGACCTTCACAAACATTTGTATGTATATGGTCGACGCAAATCTTCATTTGGAACTTCCTGAGCCAGCCATTTTGAAACCGCAAGCCCTTTGGACTGGCAAGCAAGTTTTCAGCATTCTCATGCGCCCAAATAAGCAAGACAATATTCTCGTTAACGTTGACGCAAAATGTCGAGATTTTGTACCAAGTATGGTACCAACAGGGTTTGCAAATGATATGGAAGCCAACGACGGATGGCTAGTAATTCGGAATTCAGAAGTAATGTGCGGTCTCATGGATAAGAGCACAGTTGGATCTGGAAAGAAGGACTCTATTTTCTATGTCATTTTGCGAGATTATGGTCCAGACGCAGCAGTTGTGGCCATGAATCGGCTGTCTAAGCTTTCTGCTCGATATCTGACGAATATGGGATTCTCTATAGGAATCAGTGATGTCTATCCTTCCGAAGAACTCAACAAGAGTAAAGCCAGATTGATCGCTGCTGCTTATGTAGAGTGTGAGCAATTGATCGAAAGTTTCAAGAACAATACATTGGAGAAATCTACAGGTTTAAGTATGGAGGAGACACTTGAAGCTAAACTTTCCGGCAAGCTCAGTCAAGTCCGTGGTGCAGCTGGAAAAGAGTGTCTGAGAACCTTATACGCTTCGAGCTCACCGCTAGTAATGGCCAATTCAGGATCCAAGGGTTCAGCAATTAACGTTGCGCAGATGGTGGCACTGGTAGGGCAACAAATTATTGGAGGTTCTCGTGTTCAAGAAGGCTTTCAAGATAGAACTCTTCCTCATTTCCCGAAACATTCTAAACAGCCTCCTGCCAAAGGTTTCGTAGCGAACAGCTTTTTCACAGGATTGACTCCCTATGAATTTATTTTCCACGCTATGTCCGGACGTGAAGGTTTAGTCGATACCGCAGTCAAAACAGCAGAAACAGGTTATATGTCACGACGACTTATGAAATCGCTAGAGGATTTGTCAACACAATATGACGACACTGTTAGAACTTCTGGTGGTGGAATTGTTCAGTTCCAATTTGGTGCCGACGGACTGGATCCCCTAGACATGGAGGGAAATGCAGTTCCTGTCAATTTCAAGCGGACCTGGACTCAAGCAGAGACTCTTACATGGAACAATGAGGAAAGATCACTTCTACCATACGAAGTTACCAAACAATGTGCGGAACACTTGGCAACATTTAAAGCCAAATTTTCTAGGTTTGGGCTACGCAATGGAGAACCATTAAGTTATGACGATCCCAGCGACTACGGTGTGGATGAGCATGATGGTGGCCGGGAGTTCCTTGCTGCTGTCAATAAGTTCATCGGAGAAAAAGCATCACACATGGGTAGAGTACGTACGAAGGCTGGGCTTCATGATTTCGTAGATGACCCAGAAGCTACGGGCATCCTTCACAACGAGAAAGACGAGTGGCCAGAATCAAGAGATTATGTCAACCAAGTTGCCAAGGTTTCCGAGACTACATTAAAGAAATTTTGCGAACTTTGTCTAGAAAAGTACTCCAGAGCCAAGGTTGAACCAGGTCACGCTGTCGGAGCTGTTGGTGCACAATCCATCGGAGAGCCGGGAACACAAATGACCTTGAAAACTTTCCATTTTGCTGGTGTCGCTGGTATGAATTTGACAGCAGGTGTACCCCGTATCAAGGAAATCATCAACGCTTCAAAGACGATTGCTACGCCATTCGTCAAATGCCCTCTGCTCAACTCTAAAGAATTGGAAGTAGCCCGTCTCGTCAAGGCTCGTATGGAGAAGACCTATCTACATGAAGTTCTTCACTTCGCCGAGGACATGTGGTCAGCGAAATCTGCCATAATCTGTCTGGCTGTAGACACGGAATATTTGGTAAACAGACAAATCGAAGTTACTGTAGAGAATATCGCACATACCATTTTGAAAAACAAGAAACTCAAGGTCCGAAGCGAGGATTTACACGTCAAAGGGAATTGCATTTTCATCAACGTTACACACGATGGTAGCGCTCCCACTACAGCTCGAGGAGCTGCAGCTAAAGTAAAACCTTCCCTCGATGAGGGCGGTTCTGACCTTCTACTTCGTGTACATCACCTCAAGCGCGCTGTACCAGAATTGGCTATATCGGGATATCCAGAAGCCACAAGAGCTATCATCAACACATCTGAAGATGCGGTGCCAGAGTACACTGTCGTCGTCGAAGGATATGGTCTCCGTGCCTGTATCGGAACTGAAGGTGTCGACGGCACCAAAGTCAAATCTAATAGTGTCATGGAGATGCGTGATGTCCTCGGTATTGAAGCCGCTCGTTCCACAATCGCCAACGAAATTGCAACCGTTATGGCAGACATGGACATCGATCCTCGTCACATGCAACTCCTTGCCGATGTCATGACGTACAAGGGAGAAGTGTTGGGTATCACACGTTTCGGTCTTTCCAAGATGAGAGATAGTGTGTTGCAACTTGCATCCTTTGAGAAAACACCAGATCATCTTTTCGATGCGGCCGCGGGCATGAAGACAGATAGAATCGAGGGTGTTAGTGAGTGTATCATCATGGGACAGACAATGGGCGTTGGTACAGGTGCATTCAAGGTTGTCAGAGCATTAGATCTTACTCCGGAGGATCTAAAAGTAAAGCCAACGCTTTTCGAAGATGCATGGAAAATGGATCAAAGAGAGAGAATAAAACTGAAGAGAGCAGCCATGAGTTGAATTTACGATAATGTGGAGACATGGTGAAATGATGGAGTTTATTGGCGAAGATTGGGTTACACACTTGAACAAGAGATTGGGGGAATTTTTCCATTTTTTGGTGTTGTCTTGAGCGCGAGCTTGTCTATATAGTATAATACCCCGCAAATTAAAAAAGTATAAAATCGTAAATAGACAGATTAATCATGTTACAATTGAGAATCACAATGTCCCAAGTAATATACATAAATTTCCGCTCAATTTCATCATGTAGATCGATACCGATCTCCGAACTCAATCCAAATCCCGGTAGTATGAATGTTCCAAGTGGAGTCAATATAACAAAATAGAATTCACCATCAAATTTGACCATTCTATCGTCCTGAAATTATTAGCAATTTAACCTGTCCGTGCTATGCCAATCCAATTGTGCATGTATACCATTACCCCGTTCCCTCAAACCCCTGTTCCAAAATCCCCTAGTCCGATGCTCATAACCATAACCATAACCATAACCCGTTGAAACAAAACAAAGTCCCATCGAACTCCTCGCTACAAGAGTTCAAACACCCCACTCACCCCCTCAAACGGCGTAATCGCACCCCCCACCGCCTTGGAATCGCCAAAATATCTAATTCGATATCGACCCTTCTGAGCCCACTCTTCCGTCTCCCACGTGATAGTTACTTCGCTCGTCCCCAGAATCTCGCTTACTTTCCTCCACTCGAATATGAGACTCCAGTCACTATCGTCGTGAAGTCGTACCCATCTAGAGGTATCGGGGACGAACATTTCGATAGAGGCATAAGTTGATTCGAGATGGAGGTTATTGCGTGGATTGGCGCCGATGAATGTAGCGGTTATGATGGGAGAGGATGAAAGGGGATACGAGGGGGAAACGTCGGTTTTTACATCACCGTAGGAGGTGAAGATGGGGTGGCCATCATAGACAACGCCGGTTATGAAGGAGAGGGATCTGTTGACGTTGTTTGGGGGGAGCGGGCCGGGTGGAGGTTGAGAAATGGACGTTGGACTCAGGAAGGGGAGGTGGGAGAGTGTGAGGTTGATGTAGGCGTTGAGGGTGTAGGGACCGTAGAGAGTGGAAGCGCCTTCGTAGCGTTGGATACCGTATTCCTCGGGAGTGGCAATGTAGTGTGTGTAGCTATTAGCTGGGCCTCCAATGACCACGATTGGGTCTGGAGAGGATGAGTCTGAGAAAATGGTTGATGCGGCGGAGTCGTGGATGGCTTCTTTCCAGCGACGACCAGACATCGTGGTTGCTTCTCCAGGACTGACAATGATGAATAGTTGTCCTACTCGAAGTAATTGCACATCGACTACATTGGGTGTCCACAAATAAGGTGTTATGATCTCGCCAACGTCAAGTAAAATAGGTTTGGGGTAATGGCAACGCTGTTGTTGTTTGCTTGGTGCCTTGATGAGACCAGACACGACACGCCACACGGGCGAAGCATTTGGTGTATTGGGATCATTTTGAGTGAAATCAAATGCACCTGGCCCATCAGAGGTTCCAGCCGCGAATGAGTACCCCAAAGCAGCTGGACATGTATGAACGTAACTTCCATTTTTCAAAGGAAAGGAGAAGTTTGACATGTCTTGAAATGTATGGAACGATTTTACGGACGATCCCGAAACAGCAGTCAACTTTGTGTCAGCCTCGTCGTATAATTTCTTAGCAGGCTGAAATTGCCTCTTGCCAACTTCGTGGCAAGACGATGCACCATTATCCTTTACGCGGAAGAAAGGTCCACGAGCATGGCAGTACTGACTTTTACCATCACTGCACGTGCTATTTTCGAAACTACATTGCTGCCCTGATCCGTCTTCACACCAAGCACCAAGAACATTCGGGCTTGTATCACCAACATTGGCTTGCGAGAACCCGGCTACAAAACCTTCAGCTGCGTTGTCCTCCTGAACTACACTCTTTTCGAAGAGATCTGCAGCGACACCTTTGTTGTCTCCCGAAATAAGAGTATTGTTCCCCAGCATTGAAGTTCCGTGTGTGGGAAACCATGTCAGAATCCCAATATTCTTCCCGTCAGAAGCTCGTGAGAATTTCAAAAGGGTGAGGTCCTTCTCAACAGATCCATCATCCTCAGTACTAGTATTGTACTTTGCTCGTTCTTCTTCCGGATTTGCCAAATAGGCATATAAACTTCGATTGATATTGGCCCCAAAAACTTTCGTCGAACCGACATTCAGATATCCAGGTTGAAGGCTGGTATGAGCTCTTTGGATAGACAAAACAGCTCCATCTACTATAGCCTGATAACTCTGTTTACTGAATCCTTTGCTGGTAATTTGGGGTAGTAGGTAATTCAGCCATGCCCCGGGACCAGAATGAGAATGCGTGCCTGTCACGGCTACATTCTGTTGTCCATACACAGCATAATCGCTACCTAGATTTGCGAGACCTTCCAGTATCCCATATCTAACAGCAGTATCTCCCGATTGTGTATCCAGAACGAGATAGACGAACCGGTCTTCCGGCCGGTCGATATCTCCTACGATAAAAGCTCGAGAATAGAGGCGTTGTCGTAACCCCGATCCAACTTGCTTGGTATCTGCATATCCCATCATGTTGATTTCCACAACTGGACTAAGAAGTGTTAGTATTATATTACGGTATTCAAATGCAAGATTCGTACCCAGTGATATCTGCTTTCCCAACCCCCAGTAAATACTGACTCCCCTCTGAACTACCATATTGTTGATTCCCGGTATTTTTGTGATCCCCATCGGCCCATACCCAAAGCCCCTTTCGCAAAGATCCGCCATTGAAAGAATCACATAAACATAATATAGTTACGACAACGATAATTGCTCCAACGACATTCATCCAAAATCGATTTGGGCGGGAGTTATTCTGTCTATGCTCACGTCGGTTCTGGTCGAGAAGACCAATCTTCATTTCCGGATCCCGCTCCATGGTTTCAAAGCAAACAATACTTTGTAATTTTAATGACAATATAGTCCCTTTGGATTATGGGAATGTCAATGCTTCATCCCATGGTGAACGATGTAGAGTTGGTAGCTTAAAGCTTGAGGCGGGAGTGGCGGCTGGTTCCTTGGTACCCAGTCAAGCTCCCTTAGTGGAGCGAGCCTGGCGCGCAAGGCAAGCCCACCAGTGGGTGCATGGACTGACGGGACACTTCCCAATTTTCAATATTTTTCATAAATTCATTCTTCAATTGTTTGATATCAGAATTCGTATTTTGATTGTTTCATCTCTATTCAAGAATTGTAACAATTCCTAAAATAAATGATTCAATATATCAAAAGATATTCACAAGTTTATTTTTGTACTGTCCCGTGAGTCTGTACACCCACTAGTGGCCTTAAGCTTCTAGGCGTGTTTGACTTGCACATGAGAAATTTATATTTATTATATCGAACAAACAAACACATAAATTCTTACCAAGCACTGATATTCCAATTGCAAAATTAGTTGATACGATCTATCACAATTCGTCTATATCGAAAATATTCATTAAAAAAACACGAAAGGCAAAATATAACCTGGAATTGGTGATTATACAAACTTCAACCAAATCTCAAGCTCCCTCGAATCAAATACCTCGACCTCAGAATCCATCAAACCAAACTCCAAACTCCACTCCAAAATGCCTCTCATAAACGAAATCCACGAATCCCTCCCATACATCGACATCGAACCTACCTCCTCGGAACGCGCCGCCGCCGAATCCCTCATAACCAGCTCGCTCGAGCCCGACTCCCTATCCACTCCACACCCCTCTCTCCCGGCTCTCCTCCCCTCCAATCTCTCCCCCGCCTTCACCGCAGAACACGCTCGCATATCCTCTTCAACCCCTCCACCCCCTCTAAAAGCCATCGACCTAACCCGCTACGAAACACTCTCCCCCGCGGATTCGACGCTCCCAGCTCAGACTCTCCTCTCCCAAGCCTACACCTCTCAAACTTATTTAAGTACGCGTCTTACCAATCTCTCTCTCCTTGATCAGTTTGGTAAAAACGCTTGGTTAATTGGAAACGCGCAGTTGGAGGATATATTGAAGGGGTTGGAGAGGGAAGTCGCCGCAAAGAAAGATGAGATTGATCTTGTGGTAATTGGGAGGAAGAATGCGCAGGAGGCGGCGGAGGCGGAGATTAGGGGTCTAGAGGAAGGGTGGAAGAAGGGCATCGGAAGGGTGTTGGAGACAGAGGTGGCAGCTGAAGGTATTAGGAGGGAGATTTTGGACAGGAGAAGAGCAGGTGCTAGCTAATTCTGAGTTGGCGGCATGTAAGATGTGGGATAGAGAGGAGGGAAATGGGATGACATTACTAGCCGGGCTCTGGTTGAGACTATATGATATCTGAACAGCGAAGGGTCAAATATGGACAAGATCTAGTACCACTGTCAAGGTGTTTATATCTACGGTTTTGGTATCTTTGAGGTCACATCACAAGATTATGATTTGAGGCATCAGGACAAAAGATGCATGGTGTAAAACTAATTAGCATTCAAAAGCAGTTCGCTAACGGACATCAATAATACAATTGCAAAGTGATTGAAAATCTGACTCTTGTCTGCATCTCAGGTATTGCCCACTAATAATCCCTAGTCCATTTGATCATCTCATGAACGAACGTAACCTGTATCTGAACGCCATCAAGTAAAACGAATCCATTCCAAACCAACAATCCTTTAATTCTGGTGAAGGGGATCAATGCTCTCCACGCCCTCATATTTTGTTCTTCTCATAATACTTTCAACCGGTCCCAATAACCTCTGGAACCCGTTCTTGCCAAGGGTGGCTACCTTTACTTCGGTTTTGCTAACAACACTAGCAGCTCGGGGAGCATCATTCAGTAACGCCAATTCTCCGAAATAATCTCCTTTGTGGTATAATTTTACTGGGTTCTCTACACCACGCTTGTATGCCTCGGCCTCTCCACTCTCAAGAAGATAGAATGCCTCTCCGGCATCTCCTTCATTTATGATTGAAGTACCAGGTGGGTATTTCTGAGTCTCCAAAGCATCAGCGATTTTCGACCTTTCATAACGGGTCAAAGTTGAGAGAAGTGGCACTTCTTCGAGGAAACTTTCATAGAGACGACGGCGCTGGAATGTTGAATCCATAAGAATTCGGCGGAAAGTTATGCGATCTAAAGCCCAGAGAGTGCAGGAAGCCTCTGCAGATATAACTGTGGCTGCTCTGGGGGCGTTATACATAAGGGCGAGTTCACCAAAGGATCCACCTGGCTCAATAGTGGCTACCTTGGTCCCGAGACCATCGGGTCCTGGTTGCAGCGAGCCACTGGAGTTGACATGTACGTCAAAAGAGCCTTTCTCGACTACGTAGAAGAAATCTCCCTGATCACCTTGCGAGATGACCTAGGTTAAATTAGTGGGGTTCAAAAGGCTTAATATTGAAGCTACACATACCTTAATACCAACGGCAGGAATTGGTTTCTCTACGAGAGCACCTAGTACTTGAGCGCTTTGTTCGTCATCAAGATGACTAAAAAGAAAGTTTCCAGAAATTGATTTCTTCAAGCGTGCTACTTGATCCGGTGTTTTTTGATGAAAGGGTGGAGACCAGTTATCGTTGGATGAAGCTGTCGGGTTGAGAGATTCGGCTGAAACAGAAGTGCGCCTTCCCATGCCGTAATGCTCAGGAAATCCTTCGCTCGCAGGTTTGAAAGAAGATGGTGGAAAGTCTCCAGTACTTGCATCTCCTCCGAATAAAGCTCCAAAAGAAGCTCCAAATGAAGGAACTCCCTTTGAGAATCCAAAATTTGGTGTTGTTGGTGATGTTATCGTATCATTTTCATCCTCCTCTATGACTTTTGAAATATTGCCGGAAACCGCTTGTTCATGTCCTAAACCATTTCCATCACCACCAAAAGGATTGGCGTGAGTTCCAAGCCGACCGGGGAACGTGTTTCCAGCCATTCTCGGCCGATTTGCTGTCCCTGGTGATACGGAACGATATGATCTATTGCGAGATGACAGAAACCCAGTGCGCTCAGTTTCTAGACGTTGACTAAAATAGTTGGCACAGAATTGTAAAATATCGGTAGGTTGGTTTCTTATAATTTCTTGACTGAGGGACTCGATTTCGGTCAAGTACACCGACGGTAGTGACATTCGAACTCGTTATGTGTGGTGAACAGCTCAATGCTTTGTTTACAAACTAGTGAAGATTCATAGAATTGCGACAATGTAATCGAGTGAATCGAGAAGAGGATTCCACAGCAGATAAGGCGGAATTGAGAAGGAGTTGACGGATGAAGTTGGTATAATCTATATGATGGTAGAACGATTTAGTGAGAGCTTATGAGAGGTGCATGCAGTGAGTCAATGTGAAGGAAGCGTCTAGAGGACATGCCACTGACAGCTCGAAAGTTGATGGAAAATGAATGATGTATCCAGAGCAACTTCCTTTCTATTGTGTACAAGCTTCAATGCTTTGTACTAGAATTAATGAGTCCACGGGGAAAGTGGAGTAAAGGTAAACACCTACCAGGACCTTATTGAATAGTTGAGCTTTGAGTCCGACCTCTCTATATTGGAACGAGACTCTAACAAGGTAGGAGATGGAATGGTGTTGGTGCGATAGAAGGTTGCGAGCGTTGAGATGATAATTGAAATGAAGGGTATTAAAAGGAGTTATTGGGGAAGAGTTATCTAAAGAGACTGGAAGGAAGGTACCGGTATCTTGATCGACAAGGCGAGGGGAGGGGGGGAATGGCGAAGCTCTTGCCTACCGTAACAACCCTTCTCGCTTGGATGTGGGGGAGGGAAGCGGTAGTGAGATGGAATAAAATTGATTGGTTTTTGAAGCTTCGATGAAAAGTTCGAGAAGAAACCTAGAAGGAATTGAAACGATCCGAAGAAATAATGCTTGATGTTTGGGTGCGGCAAGGTAATCTTCTCTTATGTACGAAGGAGATGTGGTAGGAGGTATATATGTAAGTATGTATGTAGGTATGTAGGTAAGTGTATATATATATATATATATATATATGTATGTGTGCGAAGATCGACCAAATGGATGATCAAGTCAATAATAACAATAATGATGATAATGATAATACTAAATAGGTCGACATGTACGAGAGGTAATCTCTTGAGAAAGTTGAACAATGATATGATCGCAAGGTCAATATTGGACTCTCTCGATGTCTCTCCCTCTACCCAGATACCTTGACAGAGCAAAGGGTCAAGTAGCAGATAATGTACAATGTATTGGATAAATCAAATGTGTCGGAAAGGGTTCCCATCTTTTTTTTATCGATATTTGGTCAAATACATCTTATATAGAGAGAGGAAAGATTGGCGTCCAAGCTGTGAGAACATTCATTTCAATAACTTTAAATATCAGACATTCTGATTTGCAATGAACAAAGGCTGTATTATTGATATTGCTCAATTGATGGTCTTAGTCGTGGCATCTCCTTCTCCTTCTCCTTCTCCTTCTCCTTCTTCTCCTTATTAAATTTGCTGTCAGTGATTGAGATTAGTTCTTGGTTAGATATGGAATCACCCTAGATAGCCATTCATCGGTCTTCATCATCCACACTTGATTGAAACAAAGAACCATGACTTTTTCACAGAGAGCTCAATCTCCGATTGTTTGCGAAAGACCTTCTATTGAAATATGGATGGATAGATGGATGGATGGATGGATGGATGGAGGGATGGATGGGTAATTTATGAGTATCATTCTTTGTATTGGGTAGCTACGACTCATACCACTCATACCACTCATACCAACTCATTTCAGATAATCATGAATGACATATTAATCAATGTCTTTTAAATGCCTCGTATCCATCCACGCTATCTAGGTATCTACAGATGATCTGATAGACTTTCAATACTTGGATCCTTTGATACTTTATGCGCACAAGTATATCGGCGTATAGACGTACAAGCACCTGATTAAGGGGTTGAGAAAACGTCATAGTCACAGCAGGAAAAGCTATCCAGATGCTAGATACCAGATACCTAGTATACCTAGGTATTAGCTTCGTAGAGAATTCATTGATTGATTTCCTTGGAGGGGGGAAGAGGGGGGTTTTATGGAGAAAGACGTAAAATGAAATGAAATAAAATACAATACAATATCTGCTACGACCTACGACCTACGACCTGCGTGATTGTCAAATGCATACCTAGTGCCTCCTTCATACATGAGCAAATTTTTGAGTCTCAAATCGTGACTCGAGTGTACATAAAGGGGCAATCGGCTCCAATTGAAGCTCATGATACTTCCCACACAATCATGATAAGTGAAATAAAGTTTCTGTCTAGTACTCTGTTCTGTGGTGTGGTACTAAAGTAGGTAGCTAGTATAGTAGGCTAGTAGCTCGCTCCAATGCGTGAGTAATTACTTTGGATTCCCCGCAATAATAAGGCAGAAGCAATTAATTAAATAATAAATAATAAATCAAAGTCCTCTCGGTCGTTCCATCGAGAATCCAAAGTCTTCTTACTTAATAAGTGCGTAGTTTCGGATTGCCCCCTTCATCAGAATCATCAGAATCATCACGAATGAAAGCTTCAGCCAAGTTCACCATTCTACTCGGGAACTCTAATTTTCAAGTTTTTGCCCCCTTCATGACACATCCTGCCCTAGTAGGTACCGGTAGGGACTAGGTAGTGTTGAAGGGTTTCTCCCATGAAGCCCTATTGCTCTTTCCATTTGAACGCTATCACTTATATGTAAAGGCACCATCTATCTATCATGGAAACTGGTCTCATTAAGCTGTTAAGCTGTCAAGCTGTCAACTGTCAAGCAGTTAAACATTCAAACATTCAAGTAGCATAGAAGAACTTTCAGAGTGTTTACTTGTAGACGCAGCATCTCATAGCTATCCCTCATAGCCATCGTAATCGAAAGAAGCTACTCGAGTAGAAAATGAATACTCTAAGTCGGATACCCCACTTTCGGGCCACCCCTCTTTTGGCCACCCTTTTATATCAAAAATCACTTTTTTGATTTATTAATATGTCTTTTAATAATTGTTATTAAAAAGTTATTAAAGATTATATAAAAGCTCTAAATTTATATATGATTTTTATACGAATTAAAAAATCGATATTTTGAAGCTTTAAATCTTAATTCAGAAAAATCCTAAAAATCTAAAAATTCTAATATAAGCTTAGAATAATTTGAATTATATATATATAAATTTTTACTAAATTATATTCAATATTGATAGAGATATTAATAGGTCAAAAAAGTAATTTTTGATGTAAAAGGGTGGCCCAAAACAAGGGTGGCCCGAAAGTGGGGTGGTCGACTTACTGTCTCGAGTCTGTACATACAATGTCATACATGCATGATACCCGGAATATTTGACATTAATCACTTTAAATTACCAGCTAGGGATTTCATGAGCCACTTTTAAGGAATGGGAGCTCTTTCTGATGAGGCAATCAAGCATATTCTTGCATATGATATGCACACAGCCATCAATAAGGATAGGTAGCATTGATAACAAAAGAGCCTAGTTGTGCTTGTTCGATCGTTCTCTCGTGCAGAACGATCACATCAGAGAGAAGAAGAATAAATAGCAACCCTTCGAGCCTTCTTCTCACTCATTCATGCTCACAGTCATCCATCCCATCCCTAGGTCCTCACTCATAATCCCTCCTCTCTTATCTCTCCTCCAGCCTCCTCCTCATTAGAAATTGGTTGGGTAACAAAGAAGAAGAATCCCATGAAGACCGTACCATATTGTCCAGCTACTGCTATCTTTCTCAACACATTTTATTCCACTGTATAAAAAGAATATCAGACTTTGAAATTCCTTCTTTCTCCATTCACTCCATACCCAGGTACAGTTCATACAATACATACAGTACCGTACCGTACCGTAATAACCTTGGAAGACTCGCATATCGCATATTTAAAATTAGATTAAAACTTGGGTTATCAGTGATATCTTCTGCCCTTATCGACATAAATAAATCAATTAATATTCCAACAGAGTCAAATTCTCAGAGGCAAATTCTCAGAGGTAAAGTCAAAGTCCAAGTCCAAGTCCAAGTCAGAGTCAGAGTCAGAGGCAGGGTCAGATCCAGAGTCAGATCCAATTCCAAATCCAAAATCAAAGCCAGAGTCATCAAAGTCAGAGTCAGAGTCAGATCCAGCGAGAAGTCTTCATCACCAACCGGTACCTACCAACTTGGTCCAAAGAGTCCAGCTATCGTCCGTATCTGTAACCGCACTGAACCGTTTTTGCGCCAATCCCAGATAATTTCCGACCACCAACTTCTACCCTACTTACTACCATACCGATCGATACCTTACAACTTACTACCTACTACCTGCGACTCACTACGCATACACAATCAAATCTCAAATCTCAAAAGGGTCGAATCTTATTGTTCCACCTTCAGCTTTTTCTCCTCTACATCAACAAAACATCTTCTTTGATTCATCATTTTCAATCATTTATTAGCTTCACCTACCTACATTATCTCTTCTTGTTTGCTGAATACCCTATACCCATCAAAAATGGGAAGCTTTGTTTTCAAGTGGTAAGTTTTTTTGCTTTTTCTTCTATATTTGTATCCTCCTGGAAATCATTGGTTCAATTGTCCAATGACAAATTCGAGGTTCTGAGAAGACTCCTCTCTTCTGCATTTCCGATCCCCATCATCTGCAACACCTACCGGTATGCGCAAGATGTTATCTTAACAATCGCACAAGTTTTCACCAAGCCATGTGCGATCAATTTGATTCTTTCAGTGGCTAACCAATTTGGTTCTCATTAGGGAGCATCCTGCGGAAGAGGTCTTTGTGACTGGAACATTCGATAACTGGTCCAAGAGCGAAAAATTAGTAAAGAATGGCGATGTCTTTTCAAAGGATGTCCAACTGGCAAACGCTGGAGAAAAGATTTATTACAAGGTGAGCCTCATATGACGGGTGATTTGGATGCGATGTTGGATTTTGCTTTTATCGGCGACAACAATAATGGCAACAATGGCCACAATGATTGCGACATGGTCGAAATTGAAATCGAGGTCGCTCGTCAAATGCGCCTAGCGATTCAAATTCCCAGTCTCGAAGCATGCGTCCAAGTGAGACTTGCAGCTTAAAAATTCCTCCACTTATGACGCATGAAGTTGATTTTGCCAGTCTTCGAAGTTGGCAAAATTCACTCCCAAAAATAATCAGGCCTGTTGCTTGCATGATTAATTAATTGTACACGCAGGCTAGGTCCCGCCTATTCCCCCAACCCCGCTTGTTTGTTTGCTTCAGCTATGTTCAACTACCGGCCTTCTTTTAAAAACATAGCCTGACCCATCTTCTTCTATTTTTTCTTCCTGCCGTTTCTCTCAAACTTAGTCAATTTTTCACAATTTTCACAAAGCTAATTGAATACCACACAGTTCGTCGTCGACGGTAACTGGGTCACAGATCACACCGCTCCTCAAGAAAACGACGCATCGGGAAATTTAAACAACGTCCTCACAACAGATAGAATTGTCAAGCATACACCTGCGACCGCTGGAATTATGTCTGGCGTTGCCCCAACCTCGACTACGTCAGAATTGGCAAAGGATGTTCCTCTTGAGAAAGAGAAATCCCCACTCGCCCAAAATGGCTCTTCAGATTTGCCTGGAGCATTTCCCGAAACTCCAGCCGCTGTGGAAACTGGTGATTTCTCTGTGAATCCTCTGCCCGCTGCAGATGGCGCTGTCAATCCTATCAAGCTCGCACCAGGAGAGAATGTTCCACATCCA